TCTCTCTCTCTCTCTCTCCCTTTACTCGTGTTGACTCAGTTCTCTTCTCTCACTCTCACTCAGTGACAGACACCCCCTTGGCCTTTGTGTCCCTTCGAGTGGCGGGGGGGATATGGTGTGCCTGCTCGCGAAGGACGCTGCGCTGTGCCTGCTGCTCGACAAGTGTGGCGATGCCGCCGCGGTGCGGGACTTCGTCAGCGCCAGTTGGCAGCGGCTGCAGGAGACGCAGCAGCCGTCACATCTGCAGCACGCGCTCTGGCTGCAGCGCCAGCTCGCGGAGGAGGCAAGACACGCCACCACCAACAGTAGTAGCAGCAGCAGCAGCAGCAACGTCAGACAGGCGCAGGAGGAGCTAGAGGCAGTGGAAAAGAGCGGCAAGGCGATCAGCGACGGCAGCATCGGCGATGTGAGTGAAATGGCAGCGGTGCTTCGTGCTGGTACGCGGTTGTCCGACGCGGTGATGGAGCTGACAGTGCGTGATGTGGTGCGGCGGCTCAGGGACGCGCCGTCACCGCAGCAGCAGCGTCCGCTGTCATGCCTCAGCGATGGAAGCACGGCGGTGGAGCTGTGGGTGGTGAAGCGCCTTGTCGTGCTGGTGCGTCGCGCTATGGCGATGCGGATGCGGCAAGTCCTGCCGCCAGCTAGCACGTCGTTGTGTGTTGACCAGAAGCAGCAGCAACAGCAACAACAAAGGGGTGACGATGACGACAGTGAGAGCGGCGGCGATGAGACGTTTCGGCACGAATGCGCTGTGCTGGTGCCGCTGAGTCTCTGCCGCTGCATCCGAGGCATGACGCTGCGAGACGTCGTTGTGCTGTGCTCTTCACGACGTGACAACCACAGCAGCGGCAGTAGCGAGGGGGGGAATGGGAGCGGGCCGCGTTCACTCGCTCTCGTCATCAACCCTGCTGTGGCGCCAGACAATAACCCGCACCGCAAGGAGAAGAATCAACGCATTGATGGCATTCAGCACGCGGTGCTGTCACACTACTATGATGCCATGGCGCGTCCAGGCACCGGCAGTAGCAGCAGCAGCACTGGCGCACTGCTTGGGCCTTCCGCACAGCAGCAGGGCAAGCACGCGGAGGCGGAGTCGTTTGCGAACTTTTTGCGCGACGCCTCGATTGGGTTTGACATGCAGATCATGGCGCTCTCTGGGGGAGTCGTGGGGTACTACATTGCACACATGCGTGGTGCGTCAACGAACACGTGTATTGTGTGCGGGGCTGTCGGCCTTGTGCTGATGTTGCTTGTGGACGCGTTTCTCTTTATGCTTCGGATGGGGAAGGTCGATGCGCAGACGCTGAAGAAGAAGCGGCGGCGGTGGTGGTGGAAGCAGAAGCAGAGCCCCGGTGGTGTTGTGGCACAGCAGCAGAAGCAACGACTTGGAGGTGATGGCTGTGCCGCAGTGGATGATGATGCGGCGGCGCTGCTTATGAAGAAGAACGCCTAAACAAATGATTGGGGAGCCTGCCGATGGGACGATGTGCATTCCGCCAGGGAGAAGCGCTCGTTGTTGTTGGTTTTTTTTTTTTTTT